ATAAAGGATTATGTGCATTGAAAACACAGACACACTGAGAAATTTTGAAAGAGTGAGATTTTTAAAATATTAGTTTTCATATTCTCTTGCTACTCAAATAAATAATCTTGATGTAACTTTGGAGACTGAGACTCTAGATCAACCTGTGAGATTGGCAGGCTCATCAAAGGCTTGTTATCAGTCAGGAAGCTTCGAGGTAACCTGGGGAAAATGGAACCAACTTACTGCAAATCTTGGATTCTCTTTTATTCTAATCTCTTGTAAACTCAGTGGGAATCAAGAGTGTGACTCCTCAAAGTAATTTTTTTATTGGAATTTTCTTGGAGGACTCAAGAGTGTTTACTATATTTTAGAAAATGAAAGTATTTGCATATTCAGTAAATTATCATTAATCACAAGCGAGACATCAGCTAGGATAGAGTAGGTTATGTTGCAATAACACACAAATGCCAAATGCCAATGCCTTAAAACAAAAAAGGTTTATTGCTCATCAAACTGCACACTTATTAGCAGACTCAGGCTAACAAAAGTTTCACCCTCTAGGTTTTAACTAATTACAGTAGCAGGTCCCTAGAGAATCAAAGAGTGGCTCATAAACCACTTCCATTCATCTTTAATTAGCTAGAGCAAATTTTGTAAACCACACCAACTTCAAGAGTCAGGAAAGCGTGATTCCCTCCGCCTCCCCATATGCTTAGAAGTAGAGAGAATCTGAATATTGATAAATAATAATCATGTCTACTAAGACGAAATAAGAATGCATCAAGAATGGATTTTTTTTCAAAGAGATTGGTGTCTAATAAAGCACAGAACATATACAAAGTAACTATTTTAAGAGAGTAAATGTTAAGTGCCAAAGATGAGAGTTGAATAAAACTCTAGGAGTTGAGAGGAAAGTTGAAAATTCAAAAAGGCTTCATGAAAGAAATTGTAAACCGAAGGTTAAACATAGATACAGACTTATAGGGGCTGTTCTTACCCGATTTAAGAAACCTCTAACTTAGGGAGGCTGTGGTTCCTTACTGTACTCTGTGTGTGTGTGTGTGTGTGTGTGTGTGTGTGCGTGTGCGTGTGCGTGTGCGCACATGTGCGTGTGTGTGTGTGTATTATCAACAAGACTGTATGAACATCTTTGTATGTATTTCTCAGTAACTTTTTCTGAGTATATCCATAGGAAAATTTCCCAGAAGTGGAACTGATTAGAGAACCAAAGGGTTAAATTCATAATTAAATTTTGAGGCAAATTGCCTATTTACCTTCCAGAAAGTGTGTACTCCCCCAACAAGTGTGTGAAATATCTTTCTTCACACCCTTATCAGCACTGAATTTCATTAAATTTCTGATTTTCATCAGTATATGTTAAAAATGGAACTGGTTTGATTTGCAATCCTTTATTAGTGAATAAGGTATAAAGTACCTGTCATATGATTTTTGGAAATATTGTTACTTCTCTGTAATTTGCTTTTTATTTATATCCTTTATTTTTTCCTACTGGCTGTTCATCTTTTTAAAAATTGATTTTTATGTGCATGTCATAAATTGTGTGAAAGTATTTTTTTCTGGCTTATGTGTTTTGATTTGGGTTTTCGAATTTTAGACCTACAGAAATTTTAACTATTTATATATATATATATATATATAAGTTTTACTTCTTTTCTCCTATGTTTGTATCTGTATAGAAAGGTTCAACATTCTAACATTTTGAATATAATTCCTCCTGCTTTGAGTTTTGGAATTTTTATTATTTTAATCTTAAAATTTTTGATATTTGGAGTAAAGTTAGATGAGTATTCATATTTTCCCCTTTCTTCTCCTAAAAGGATAGCCAGTTGCTAAACAGTATTTTTGAAATTTCACTTTTTTCCTCATTTATTTGAAAAACCATCATTATCACTAAACTTCCATTCTCATTTGGGTCTGCTGTTTTTGGCTTTCCCTTCTGTTCCATTTACCTGTCTAGTCTTCTCCACTGCCAAACAGTTTTAATTATTGTCACTTCATAATATGATTTAATACTGGCAGGCCTAGTCCTTCCTCATTATTCTTTATGATCAAAATTTTCCTGGCTATTCTTACATGTTTATTTTTGCAGATAAAGCTCAGTATCTTTTCTTCAAATTTTTTTGGGAATTCCTATTTATGTTTTAATTAGGATTCCTTTGAATTTATGGATTAGTTTTAGAAGCACTGACATAATTTCAATACTGAATTTTCCTATTCAAGATTATGATTTATCTTTCTTTTTATTTCAAACTTAAAACTCAATGGAACAATATTAAAATTTTATTTTTTATTGGTTCTCAATATTACCTAAGTTTATATGTAGGAATTTTTATCTCTTTTGGTCCTGTTATAAGTGGAACTTTTACTTTAATCTATTTTTATATTGGTTATTGTTTATACATATAAAAACTATTTTGTATATTAATTTTTAAGACAGCAATTAACTGATTTCTCATACTAATTATTTCAGGGGTATTAGGTATGTTGGCATATTAGACATGTAATCATAAATAAAGATAACTTGTTTTCTTCCTTCTAGGCTTTACCTCTCTTATTTTTATATTTTGTCTAAACTCATAGGCTAGTCAAAACTGGCTAGAAAAACATTAAAAATAGTGGGCAACATTGTTTTTAAATTTCAAACAGTCACAATCTCTTAGTCCAGGTTTGTGGCTCTTTTGGAAGAATAATTCTCTCAACAGCAAAATACATATTTGTAATTTTGTATCTTTGACTTTAGATTCCAGCCAGTAACATCATCCACAGTCCTGTTTTAGTCATGGCCCTTTCTACATTAATTAATTAGTTATTAATAATTAATAATTTCTTTTTCTTGAGCCACTATGTCCATCTTCAGAGAATGTTTTGGACCCACCTTAACTGATTTAGAGAATTTGAGAATGGTGTTTATGGCCACACTCTTGATTGGTCCTTCCCAGAGGCTGAGTTTCGACTGAACTTCTTTTAAAGGCCTTCTCCAGTTTCATTATTTACCTGTCAGAGATGAGAAAAAAAAGGTGTATCCTCCCAATCCCAGTATTTGGGGACTTGGTCTATGCCTTCTAACTATGACTTGCAAACTGGCCGATTCTTTTCTGAGCTCATCTTTTTTATAGTTACCTTGTCAAATACAGCCAACACTAATTGATTCATGATACCAACATTCTTTTTTTCTCAGTTCTTTAGCTATGTTTATTGGATGCATTATTTGCCTTTGCAGTTTATTAAAAGCAAAGTTTTTTTAAATCAATTGTTCACCACTGCATTCCATGAATCACTGTATTTCCAACCTCCAAAAATTATTTTTCACTGCCCACTACCTAGTCCCAAAGCCATTGCCAAATGTATTTTTTAATGTTATTGTTTGGCAGCCTCTTTTTTCCTAGTATACCAATTTTTATATTAATTAACTTAGGCTACATTTTACTGCAGTAACTGATGATCCAATGGCTCAATGGCCAACACAAGAGCATTTTTTTGTCTTTCATGTTACGTGCCTATTGTAGATAGATGTTGGCTAAAATTTACCACTTATTTGCTACCCATTACTTTTAAACCTTGGACACAACTTGACTGAGTATATTGTGTTTGGGTCACACTTTCTCATGTTTTGTATTTTGTAGGTATTTTCTTAGTATTCTCCAAGCATTTTGCTAAATTTCTCTGCCCCTCCCCCGTTTCATTGCTGTATGTTAACATGGATGCTGTGCCTTTTATTTTACTTAAAAATCTTGCTTATGACTATGTGGGTAGCTTTGTCCAGATTATATATTTTTTTGGTTCCAATGTGGGTTAATGCTCCTGGTCTTTTCAGTTCATCTGAGATGAGTTTATCTTATCTCCAGGAAAATAAGGTTTGAAGATGGTGTCTTCTATAAACTGTAGCCAGAGAAGGGAAGTCTTAGCTGGGACTTGGTTCATCCTTAAAGGGAATCCTGCTTTGCCCCTTTCTCCTGTACTTTTATTAAGTACTCATTGCCCAGCTAAGTTCCATCTTATCAAGGTGTATCTTAGTCTACCTGGCCTTCAGCTGCTCATCTCAATTCAGCCTGAGTTAGTGCAGGTGGTTTTCTCACCATTAATTTATTAGATAGTGCTGGAAACTGAAAATGGAGTAGTAATGTTGCCTTTGAAGGGTTCTATGCCTTGAATAACTGTGTCACTCTTTAAAATCTGTGGATAAATAACCCTCATTAAATTAAGATTTCTAAGAATTACATCCATCATAGATAACTGGTCACATCCTCTTCTCTCCCTACCAGACAAGCTAAGAAGATCATGAATTGTTTGTAGGTAATGTTTTAATTTGCCTAAATAAAAGTGAATTGACCCAAGTGCTGTGCCAGCCATTGGGCTTCTCTTAACTGTGTCTTGACAATTAAGATTTTTGAAGCTAAGGCAATAGCACCCAGTATGTCCCACAGAAATAAGTCTTAAAACAATGTCCACTAAATATCAAGCTGTTGTGATTTTCTCCATCTCTGTTCCTTTGGAGAGATGGCCTTTCCTCTTCATAAACTCATCTGGATAGATACCTACTATGAACAATTTCCTAAGATCAGCAATTGGAAGAAAATTCCACAGAATCCTAGAGTGTTTTGAGACCTTCAGCTCAGGGTTTGTCCTCACTGAGCTGGGACCTCAGAGGATGGCTCTCTCCACAGAGTCTTGGCACTTGATCATTTCTATTAACTCCTAGGCCTTGCCACTGTAAGAGCCTAAATATTTTTAGAATAGGTGGCTACTCTCTAAGGGTGGAGTCAGCATTGCTGATGAGATTCCCCTGGCCCCAAATACTTTCCTTCTCTGATTATAAATGAAACCCTGATATAAATGAGGATTGGTCTTTCATAGAGATAGGGTTTTAATGTAGATGTGCACTGAACAGTTTGCAGATTTATTTCCAATGAATTTTGACAAGAATGAGGTGGAAGAATATATGTTGACTTTTTTTAGACTGAAATGTGTTTTCTTTAATTAATTTGTTTTATTTTCAGGGTGACCGTGGACTTCCTGGTTTTCCTGGGCTTCGTGGAATGCCAGGATCAAAGGTTGAAGAAATCTGTTCTTCTTAAAATTAAGCAATGCCGTATTTTATTTCAAATTGAAAGTACTTTATGTTATAAATGGGTTATAAATAAGTGTTGATATATAAATTTAAGTATATTAAAGTAAATGACTGGGTTAAGATTAATAATCATAGTTTACATAAAGCTTTTACAAATTTCCTTTAAAATTTTCAGCCATAAATCTTTTTTTTTTTTTTTTTAATAATACACAATGTATTTATTTATTTATTTATGGCTGTGTTGGGTCTTCATTTCTGTGCATGGGCTTTCTCCAGTTGCGGCAAGCGGGGGTCACTCTTCATCGCGGTGCGCAGGCCTCTCACTATCGCGGCCTCTGTTGTTGCGGAGCACAGGCTCCAGACGCGCAGGCTCAGTAATTGTGGCTCACGGGCCCAGTTGCTCCATGGCATGTGGGATTTTCCCAGACCAGGGCTCGAACCTGTGTTGTCTGCATTGGCAGGCAGATTCTCAACCACTGCGCCACCAGGGAAGCCCCCATAAATCTTATAGTATTTAAAAATTGATGAGTAGTTTTCATTATATAGAAATTCTCTTAACTATAAACCTTTTACTATAAGGCACTGTTATAGTAACAAATGCCCTGATTTTTCCTTGCTTTTGGTTATAAAGCCTGGGAAATCGGACTTTTTTGAACAAACTTTAAATAATTTATTTCTATTTTATTTTGATGTGGGCATATTAAACTCTGTTGTTTATAATTGGAATTGTTTTTTCTTTAATATATAAGTGAAATATTAATTTTAGAGAAATTAAAATATTAATTTCTCTAAAATTCAGGATTTATTTTTTTATCTTTTAGGGTGAAATGGGTCCCAAAGGAGATAAAGGATCACCTGGATTTTATGGCAAAAAGGGAAGTATAGATCCCAAAACAAAGTATCCATATTGAATTTTCAATACAATGGAAATAGAAAATTTGAATTTCAGTCCCAGCCCACTGTTGTAGCAATTAGCTTTGTTCACCTTTCTCAGGGGATTTATTCAGAACAATGGAAAAATAACTGTTGACTGTTATGCATGGTATTCTATAAGAATACTTTGTGTTATTGAGCCTTCTGAACTTTAAAAATGTTTACAGAGAGATTCCTTGGAAGTGATAGCTGTTTAACAGTGTCCATTGAGAATCCTATTTTTTCACATTGAAGGAAATGTTTAGTCTCTTTATATTTAAGATGCTCATTGCTTTTTACTTTTGCCAAGTAGTGGTTTCTGTGTTTAGATGCTTGTAATTCTGCATCCATCTTATCCTCAATGTCATGTTGTGTCCTGGTAAAATAATGCTTTGCTGAAAGCTGCAGGGTCAATGCAAGCTGTGGTTCTATGAATTCTGTCACTCCATAAGGAAGTTAGCTTACTTTCCTATTTAAGTTCGAGTTGGAATTTTAAAGCCTTATTGTAAGGATTGTTTTTAAGTGTTTATTTTTAATACAGGGTGCAAAAGGTGAAAAGGGGAATGCTGGTTTTCCTGGCCTTCCTGGACGTGCTGTGAGTTTGACAGAAAAAGTTCTTAAGTATTTTACTTTAAATAAAATGTAACCTCTACTATCTTCTTTTAAAAAGAAAAATTAGCGCAAAAAATATATTAAAATACTTGTATTTATTTTTTCAGGGAGAACCAGGAAGACATGGAAAGGATGGATTAATGGGTAGCCCTGGTTACAAGGTATTTACAAAAAAAAAAAAAGATTTCTGTAACTTTTGAGAAAAATGTACAGATATTAGACTTTTTTAATGTATGACATTGGTATAAAATGAATGAACTAAAAGTTGTTTTAGTGTAATTTAAAAATGATTCTAAATTTATTTTGAGTCTATCATGAATTCTTCTGTGTTGGAAATAAAATCCCAGGATATTAGAAGGTTGAGTGTCTTTGATGAGCCATTCAGATGGATTTGTTTGGTGGATTAGAGGCAGAAGTACTTAGCTGTGTCTCCCAAGGGATTACATTCTTTTTCAGAGAGTAGGGACGGAACCCTTAACCCTAACAATTTCAACTTTAACCCTGACACCTTGTGTGGTGTGAATATGGGAGAATTAGAGCAAGAAGAACAGCAAAAGTGCCAAATACTCACCAGTCCTGAAAAAACTCAAAGGCACATGCCCTTACAGTGGTGGGTTAACATCATCTTATTCTTACATAAAGAAACTTTTTTGGGTCAATTATCAAATAGAAACAGGCTTTCTATAGTGTGGCTTATTAAATAAAAAGACATCAGGTAGGTATATGTATTCAAGTCAGTGTATCTAGAATGAGCCAACAATACACATCATTGTCCTATTGTACGTTGTTTTGTTTTTGTTTTTTTTGATCCCTAAGGAGAGAATTTGTGTAAATCCATCAACCACCGAGACCATTTGATCAAGCATTGGATTTAGAGATGTCATCATTTTTCCTAATGGTCAGCACTTTGAAGGCCAAACTTGCTCAGAAGTTCAGTCCAAATTTTCTTGGTCTATAGATGTTTTCTCTTCCTTTGGAAACATTGTCCATTTTTTCACTTAAAGGTTATGAAAGTTCTCCAAATATCAATGATTCCTTAAAGATTATAGATAGTACTTCCTGAATGTAAAATATGGGGGCCCATTTTCAAGAGCTTAGTCATGTGTTGTTGTCAATTATGTTTCACTGGTTTTGTATTTTATTTCCCATTTTTTTGTTGATTAAACAGATATTTATTGATATTTATTAGGTGCTGGACATATAGAAGAAAACAAAACTCTCATGGAGCTTATAATATAGTTTCTCTGTGTTAGAGAACACAGATTCTTCTCCTTACCTGCAGATTAGGGATTCATCTAATTTAATTTTTCTTTGTCTTCTGTTGTCAAAAGGCCCTGTGCCCCAAGAAATGAAATTATACTTTTTTGGGGGTGGTAGAGTTTAGAGAATAGAAGCGAGTTGGAGTTCCACCTCTCAATGACTTTTCCTAACTAGCTGTATGTCGTATGTCAAATTCTTTGACCTTCAGTTTTCTCCATTTCAAAAATGGAGTAAATGTTACCTACTTAGAATGGTATGGTAGAGACAGAGTAAGATAAAGGAATAAGTGTTCAATAAGGAATTCGTTTACTGCCTATTTTTTGATTTGAACATAGCCTTAAGGTGCCTTTTTGAACTTTTTTAAAAAAAACACTTTATTGAGGTATGATTGACATACAAAAACCTGTACATATTTAATGTAGGCAATTTGGTGAGTTTGTATGTAAGTATATGCAGTGAGCCATTACTGCAATCAATGCCATAAACATATCTGTCACCTCCAAAAATTTCCTTCCTCCCTCTTATTATTATTATATTAAAAAAAATAAATTTATTTATTTATTTATTTTTGGCTGCGTTGGGTCTTTGTTGCTGTGTGTGGGCTCTCTCTAGTTGCGTCGAGTGGGGGCTACTCTTCGTTGCAGTGCACTGGTTTCTCAATGCGGTAGCTTCTCTTGCTGTGGAGCATGGGCTCTAGGTGTGCAGGCTTCAGTAGTTGTGGCACGTGGGCTCAGTAGTTGTGGCTCGCAGGCTCTAGAGCGCAGGCTCAGCAGTTGTGGCACACGGGCTTAGTTGCTCTGCTGCATGTGGGATCTTCCCGGATCAGGGCTTGAACCCGTGTCCCCTATGTTGGCAGGCGGATTCTTAACCACTGTGCCACCAGGGAAGCCTTCTCCATGTCTTTTCATGACTTGATAGCTCATTTCTTCTTAGTACTGAATAATATTCTTGTCTGGATAGTCCACAGTTTATAATTCCTTTTTGGAATCTTTGGATAATGAATCATACCTAATTTTCTCTGACCGTATTAAAATCTATTTTCTTCCTCCCATCCAGATTTTTGTTTTGGAATTTTTCAGTCCTACAGAAAATTGAACCTAATAAATATATGAACATTTATTTCTATAATTTTTTTTGTTGAGCCACTGGAAAGTAAATGAGACACCGTGCATTTCTCTCCTAAACACTTTAGCTTATATCTCCTAAGAAAACTTTAATTCCATCATGATGCACAAGAGATTTAATATCAATACAATACTATTTTCTAATATGAGCCCATATTCAAATTTTTCTAATTGTTCAAAAATTCTTCTAAATAGCTATTTTTTCACCTGATACAATCAAGATTTGTGCACTGTATTTGGTTGTGTATTCGTCAAGGTTGCTCCAGAGAAACAAAACTAATAGGATGTGTGTATGTGTGTGTGTATTTACATTATTTATAATGTATTTGTCAATATATAAATGTATATTTATATACCATATATATCAAAATAAATATTTATATTTTCATGTGTGTATATATATATATATATATTTATATATAGAGGGGTAAGGGAGTGTTGGTGAGGGAAAGGGCAAGGGACAGGGAGGGATGGGGATTGATTAATTGATTCATTCATTCAAAGGAATTGTCTCATGCAATTTTGGGGACTCTGCTTTCTGTCACTATAGTTTTACCATTCTCACAATGTCAATTAAATATAATCATACTGTATTTAGTTGTATGGATATATGACAGTTGGTTTCTTCATCTTTCAGCTGATGAACATTTGAATTCCTATATTTGGCATTTATGAATAATGTTGATATGAATATTCTTGTGCACATCTGAGTTGAACAAGTTTTCATTTCTCTTGGGTTGATACCTAGTAGAATTGCTGGATTGTATGGTGAGTGTATGTATATTTAACTTCCTAAGAAGTTTCCTAACTGTTTTCCAAAGTGGTTTCATTCTTCTCTATTGCCATCAGCAACTCAAGAGAATTCCAGTTTTACCACATCCTGCCAACACTTAATATTTTGTATTTTAGCTATTGTAGTTGGTACATAATGGCATCTCATGTGGTTTCAGTTTGCATTTTTCTGATGACTGACAGTGTTGATATCTTTTTATGGGCTTGTTGGCCATTTGTATATCTTCTTTTGTGAAGTATCTATTCAAAACACTTGACCATTTTAAAAAACTTTGGGTGGTTTGTCTTCTTATTGATGAATTTTAAGAGTTCTTTGTATATTCTGGATATTGGTCCTTTATCAGATATGTATCTGTGAATACATACATCAGATATGTATCTGTGAATACATTGGTCGGGGGAATTATCTCCTGACCTTTGGATTGCCTTTCTTTCTTAATGGTGTCTTTTGATGGGAAGAAGTTTTTACTCCGGATGAAGTCTCACTTCTTAAAATATTTTTCGGTTCATGCCTTTTGTGTTCTATTTAATCTTTACCTAACTTAGGGGCAGAGATTTTCTCGTATCTTTTCTTCTAAAAGAAAATATTTTCAAATTTTCTAAATGCACATATAGAACATCATATTTTCTAAAACCGTATCATCTTAGCTTACAAATTTAGCTCTATGATCCATTTTGATGATTTTAATTTCTATGTATGGTGTGAGGTAAAAGTTAAGGTTCTTTTTTTTCCCTTTTGGAGACCTGGTTTTTCCAGCACAAATTATTGAAGAGACTATCATTTCCCATTGAATTACATGAGCATTTTTGCCAAGTATCAATTAATCAATATACGTGTGAACCTATTTTTGGACTCTTGATTTTGTTCTACTCATCTCTATCTCTATCGTTTTGTCAACAACACACTGTCTTGATTATCATAACTTTAAATTAAATCTGGGAATCAGTTAGTATAAGCATCTAAATTTGTTTTACTTTTTAAAATTGTAATAGTCTAGGTCGATATAAATTTCATATAAGCTTTAGTATCAGCTTGAAATTTTCTTACCAAAAACGCCTTCTGAAACTTGTTAAAGAAACTTTTTAGTTTGGAATACTTTTAGATTTACTGAAAAGTTGTAGATAAATAGTACAGAGACGTTTCCTTATACACCTTACCCAGTTTCTCCTGATGTTAATTTAATTTGTCAAAAGTAAGAAATCAATATTGTCAAATTGCTGTAAATGGAACTCCATACTTTATTTGGATTTCATCAGTTTTGCCTCTAATGCCCTTTTGCAGTTCCAGGATCCAATCCAGGATACACCACATCGCATTTTTTTTTGTCATGCCTCTAATCCATGATGATCAGTCTTTTCTTACTTTTTATGACTTTGATAGTTTTGCAGAGTGTTAGGTTTTCTGTAGAATGTCACTCAATTTGGGTTTGTCTGATTAGACTGGAATTATTTTGGGAGTGGCAGAGAAGGATAACACAAAGGTCAGTGCCCTTCTCATCATATTAGAGAGTAAATACTATCCATATGTCTGATCATTGGTATTTTAACCTTGGTCCCTTGGTTATGGTATTATCCATGTTCAGTTTACCCAAGAACAACGCGGGGGTCAGGGCCACTGACCCTCCCCACAGTTGAAAATCCTAGTATAATTTAAAGTTGGCCCACTGTATGTGTGGTTCCTCTGTATCCATGGATCCAAATCCGTGGATTTAACCAACCAGGGATCACGTGGTACTATACTATTTATTGTTGAAAAAAAAGCGCATATAAGTGGACCCCTGTAGTTCAAGCCTGTGTTGTTCAAGGGCCAAATATATTTGTCAGGTTTCTCCACTGTGAAGTTACTGCTTTTTCCTTTCCACATTCCATTTGGAAGCAAGTCCACAAATCCAGCCCCTATTCAGGATGGGGAAGTATCAACACAGCATATCATTCCACTTATGTTGGTTTTCTTTCATTTACCTCAGCAATGTTATGTGGTTTTC